GCAATAGCGAAAATCAGACCTGAAAAAAATCAGGCCTGTACGGGATTCGAACCACTGACCTCTGCGATACTAGTGCAGCGCTCTACCAATTGAGCTAACAAGCCAACTGGGAGCAGGCCGTAAGTTGATTCGTAATAAACCCGTGATGATAAATCAGATACGATGAATATATGAAGTTCATATATTTTGAACTGCGGTTAGAGATACGTCTGATGAACGATCCTCGCAGTAGAGAGGGCTATTTAGGCAATAGCGAAAATCAGACCTGAAAAAAATCAGGCCTGTACGGGATTCGATATAAAAAAATTTATGAACTTCATATATTCATCGTATCCAAAGGAAAAGGGGTTGACCATATTCCATAGGTATGGGGCTCTGCCCCACGCGAGCCCCGCTACTACTGTGACGTAACGGTGCCCAGTCCCCTCTTTGCTCGGCCAGACATTTTATCTACGGATTATAAAGTTTGATAAAAAATTTAGAAAACGGTAAAATACCGCTGATGTTGGTAAAACATGTTCTAGAGTCATAACATTTTGAAGTAAAATAATAAAAAAATAAGTGTCATAAGGATTTTAAAAAAGAAGTGATTTAAAAAAGGATTGGATGTTGCTTGGGTAACGACCTGGAGTTATCGTGTCCTGCATGATTCGTGACAGCATAGTTAGTAGAGGTGACAGTATGCCATCACTCGCGAGTTTTTCATAATCTTGGGTCACGTAGCAACCTTGGAAAAGGTGAACCGAGAAAGGGTGCTTTATCTATCGGTGCTTTAGCGAGAAAGAATATCAAAGTGTTCAGCTTCGAGACACAGGCCCAAATTCGTAGAGAAAATCATGTTTTTTGTTTACATGCGTAATTTTTTCTTATCTCGCAGTGATAAATTCCACACAATTTTTTCCTGTTCAGCTCAGCGTTACTCTATGGGCGCCTAAACCATGCATAAATCTGTGATGAATGTTGAATGAATGAATGAATGAATGTTTCTTTATTTAAACCCATTTCAGAAAATCTGAATTACAGGTATAGTAAAAAAATTGTTTACATGGAATTAAGCTTACAAAATACAATAATAAATTATGGATTTTTATACATTTTGACGGTGGCAAACTTGTTCGTTACAAACTTTCCAAAACGGTCAGTTTTTGTGCTTTTCACATAACTAGTAGAAGAAGACCTGAGATTGTACTTGTTACTTGGTTGAACGAGGCGGCTTTTGACAATATTGAAAACAGGGTTTGACGGTATCGGGGTACGTAAAAGCTTCTTACAAGCTTCTTCGCGCCTATCCGCAAGCGTGGCGATCCGAGACGCAGCTAGCGCATCAGCATATGCAAGTTTCCGAAAAACAAAGGCAGGCGTGCGTTTCTGGACCTCCTCCAGGGCCTGCGACAAGTACCGTGGTAGATTGACGAATGTAGGTGTCGCATATTCCAGAAGAGACCTAATGAGTATGCAGTACGTGACGTTGTTTTGATACTGAAGCAATACTTAATCTTTCCACGTTGCAGATAAACAAATACCTGCAGAGAATCAACCTGACAGTAATGATTAACTGAGAATTATTGACGAATCAGATCCTATGAAAGACCGTTTCTCACACCGGCAGGGAATGATCCCGTTATCTCACGCCTGCACTGATCATGATTACAAATTCCGTTCGCCTGTCAGTGCATAAGTTGAACTGGGTTTGTATCATAACAACCACATCGAGGTAACTGATCTGGTAGCGCGGAAGATCACAGAAACGGCTCAGCTTAATAACATTTGCATTTGCGCATATTCTTCTCCGTTCTATTTATCTATTTGCTATTTACTAGTAACTTAGTAATTTATTTATTTATTGTGGCGAGGTTTTTGTTTTTCTTACAAAGAAACTATTCTTTCCATTTCAGGGATGCAATTTCTCAACCTAGTACTCCTATTATTTTATTTAGCTACTGTCTCTTTATTTCTTCTCTGTAATTTGTTCCTGTAAAATTTTTCATTAATCTGTGTTTCACTACTGCTTGCTTGATCGACAAGCTGTTCTTATCTGCGATCAGTAGAAGCAAGGCTGTAAATCTATATTAGAAGAAATGAATTGAAAATTGAAATTGAATCGAATTGAACAAGGATTGTTGAGCTCATAATATCAAGAATGTAAGAATTTTGCAGCCCTGCGGGGTTCGGTGTTTTGACCGTCGTTTCCCCCGTCATAATTCAAGAAGCATTTCTACCAAACGCCAGTGTTATTCTGCGATGGACATTTGCAGCGCACTTCTTCATAAGAAAGGTGTGTGTACTAGATCTACTATAGCATTGATTAAAACTTGAGAGTTATTTCTAGTTCTTACCTAAATCGCGGAGGTCCTTAACAGTTCCTGCCCCTTCTGTCAGTTGCAGCTCTGTGAGCAACCTTTAAAACCCTAACTTACGTGCTTTGAATAAATCAACTGAATGCTGTCAAGTGCTAAGGTCAGGCAGCCAGGCATAAAAACAAAAAATATTAGATTACGGCTAGTGAATGTTTGGATTCTGAGTGTCAATCAGTCTGGTCTTGAGATGCTGACATTCTTAAGTGGGCTCAACTCTTAGAAGTTGTTTGTAGTGGGGAAGGGAGGGGGGGATAAAAACTGAATTCTTGGCTTTCGCTTTGCTTTTCATAGGGGGCCGGTCATTATTTATCTCGTGGCGAGCGGACTCAGATGATTTTGGATGTGTCGCAATAAAATTTTCCTAAGAAGACCTTGTGGTCTTGTAATGATCCTTCCCTCACTGGTAGAAACATCTTTTGTGTCCCTCCTTAAACTAACTCTGTTAGAGACGACTGATCTTCTCTCTGTTCTTCATTAAAAACATGTGATCCCCCCACAAAAATCCTCCACCCCCCCGGCCACCAATAATACCGGTCCTTTATTCCAATAAGCTTTCTGTTATTTACTCCTTGCTTCTTCTAAGGTATCGAAGGGTTTTCATTATCAATAATTGTCTCATTACAAAAATAAAATTTCCACTCTAACTCTGTTTCAAGGTTGCAAATTGGCTATTATCATAGTTATACCACAAAACTGAGTTATTTGCTCTTGTTTAACGATTTGTTTACCCAAATTGAAAAACATTGAACATCATTTCAGCCTAATACTATGACGTAAGAAAAAACCACAAGCAACCGGTCAGGAAGTGATGTCATAATAGAAAAAAAAATCACAAAAAAAGAAATATAGAATCCGCGAACATCAAGGTCTGCTAGGTAACGGAAAGGGCTAAACTGATGGAATCTTAACTGATGGAATTAAGTAAGAAAAGTCACGCGAGTAGATGTTAGTATGGTATCTCCAAAAGCTGCCACTGAATAGAATGTCGGCAAGTGCCTTCCCTATAAGCCTCCCGCAAATTCCATATTTCATCAAGGAGAACGCTGCGATTTGCGGTGTTGTTCTGTCTTCTGTTTTGCATTGGTTTCTTTGTTTTGTTTTGCTTTTTCTTGTGAGGTATTGCGGTCAATAAATATGCGTTATTATCCAAGCGTGAGGTCAAGAGGACTGGATTTTGGCCGAGTTCTTTTTTTTTAACATTTTTATGGACCTCGACTTCGTCTCGGTCCATAAAAATGTGACAAAAGAACGAGCCTAATATTCAGCCATCTTGAACGAACAAGCTTGGTTAATAAAGGATTTATCATATTACAAAAAGATTTCGCTTTATTAAGAGTTAAGAATGACTTGTTTCCTTCGAGGGGTGGGAAAGAAAGCCAACTGTGTTTGTAGCACAACAAACTCACGACTGTCGTGCCTGCTTTCTATTACAGTGGAACCTCGATTTAACGAACCTCTATTTAACGAAGTCCTCGATATAACGAACGATATCCTATGTCCCAGCCAAAGTTATAGTAAAATGCATGGAATAGAACCTCGTTATAACGAACCTCGATGTAACGAATTCTTCGATATAGCGAACATAATCCGGAAGGCCAAACGTAAAATCTACCTCGATATAACGAATTCCAATGTCAACACACGACAGAAGATAAATGCTGAACAGATCAACAGTCAACAAATCCTTTAATCCTTATGGTAAAGAGACAGCAACTTTTCAGACAAATTAAGGCTTATTATGTTACAGACGTTGGCGCGATAGTATTTCGACAGCAATTAACCTCTGCTTTATCTTCTTTGTATCTTATTAGTTCTCTTAACGTCTTCACTTTCGAAGGCTTCTTGTGATAAAACGAATATGTAGCCAGAATTTCAAGTCCAATGCCCTTGTTTCTCCGTTTACCAGTCACTTCCACAGAAGTCAATTTTCTGTAGACAGTAATCTTAATGTTGCAACAAATTTTAAATCGCTGCTCTGAACGTGTCGTTTTTTTGTACCGTAAAGAAAAGCTGAGCGTCTGCTCAAAAGTGAAAATAATTGACAATGCAAGTCACCATGCTTAATAAATGAATTGCATCTCAAAACGCGGCACTTCGGGGTGACGAATTTTGCATTGAATTGCGTGACAGAAGTCACTTGTGTTACAAATCAATCATTAACTATGACCTCGATATAGCGAACCTTGAGTAATTTCCCCTCAAATTCGTTATATCGAGGTTTTCGACTTGAAGAACCCTCGATTTAACGACCAAATTAAGTCAGTCCCCAGCGACTTCGTTAAATCGAAGTTCCACCGTAAATCTGTATAAGAAGACAAAAGTAGGAAAAAGGAAAACACGAGATTTAACGAACGCAAAGCTTATTCAAGTACGGACATCCTGTTGATTCACCATTCTGTTTTGAACTTGACTAACAGTTATACGGTTTTCAAAAATGTGACTTATCGGTTTCCGTGGTTGTTTGTAACTGGTGAGAGTCAAGTTGGTCCTGACAGCCTGAAAGCACGCTTCCGCCTCCAAGGACACGTGCAGAGACGTTTGACCACTGTGTTGACCGAGTGGTCAAACGTCTGCGCGTGTTTGAACGTTTAAGTAATGGCTAAGTAGCGTTTCCTTTACAGATTTCAATGAACGTTTCGATTTTTTCTCCCCATTTTTGGTTTGACATTGGTAGTATTGTATGTTTTCCTTTGAGATTTTGCGCCGGAAATTGTTACTCAGTTGGCCAAATTTGATCTCCTTGCGCATGCCCAACGTTGACCGCCTAGTTGTTCCGGTCACGCAAACAGGTAAAGTGTAATTTCCAATAGTTTCCCCAAAGTAAAGTGATCGATGTACTTGCTTATGTACTATCAGTTGAATATAATTATAGTTAATAAATAACTCTGAGACTTTTTAAATTTGCCCTCGGTAAGAATAACTTAAATTATCAAATATAAGTACCGAGATTTACTTAGTGCAAACTCGCCGAATAAAAATCGTCTCTCTTCGATGAGAAGTAGTTCCTGATTGGTCATACGATTTTTCTCACCGGTGAAACTAGTGAGCTATCCCTTGAATCCTTCCTTAAAAGTTCGACTCAGTATTAAATGGTATTTATTTCACCCTGAATTCACCACAAAATTACATTGTCATTATTTCTGAAATCTAGAGTTCTACGCAAAAAAAATTTACTGAATTACTATGTTCAGATTGGTACATCATCGTTATTGTTTTCGTTATCTTTATTTTGACTTACTGTGGTGGTAGTAGTCTCCCTCGCAGCCGTTTTTGGGGGAGTGTTGCGTGACATCCAAAAAAAAACGGCTGCGAGGGAGACTACGGTGGTAGCGGGTCGCGGAAGGACTTTTATTTCCTTTTGTTTTGAATTTTCTTTCTTTTTTCCTTCAGTAGGGTCGCTCATTGCTACTGGTTGCGTATTGTTTGAATTCGCTGTTTGGTTTTTCTTGCAGAAAATTCTCCAAAGAAATTCGCGAAAGTCGCTCATCTGAACGATGTAAATTACAACGTTCATTGCACTGTTGAAATAGACTATGGCACCAAACCCATAGCGTGATCTAAAATCAGTTTGAAAATCACGGTATGGTTTTGCTATATGATTGTAAAGTAAATTGACCAACAAGAAGAATTAGGAGACGATGAAGGCAAACCGGATGAAGATGAGAAGAGTCATTCCCTTTCCTCTCGTGGCTATCAGCTTGGTCTTAAAAGCATTGTTCAACCCTGTGATCACCGCACGGTTCCCTCTGATCCATATTGTTTTAAGAAGGCAGAAGTTGACGAAGGTTATAAAACCTCCCGGAAGAATTCGAATGTACTGTACCACGACGACAACCAGGGGCATTCTGAACGAGTAAAATTGATACTTGTAAAAGCAGATAGTTGTATAATGAGTCTGGTTTATATCCTGCCTTATTCCACCATATGGGGTGGCTGCTAGCAGCATAAAGACCATTCCAAACACCCACGCCAAAATGATCATCCTTCGAAGTGATACCCCACTATAGTGGTGGTATATAAAAGTATACGTGGAGTCGCGCGCGTTGATAAGTGCTTTTCAAGGCTGATTACAATCAGATTGTTGATTGTAATGGACGGGAAAATAAAATTTGAATACCGAACTAACTTACATGCCCAGCCATTTTGAAATACATCGAATAAAATTTGAATGCATACTACAGTCCAACCCCTATTAAGCGACCACCCTAAGGGAAATGGAAAGTGGCCGCTTAATAGGCCGGGTTCGTCAGGAATTGGTCTGAAACTTACGTAAAACGTCCATGTATTCAAATACAAGCATGCTTAAAGGCTTTTAAGCTCTGCTGGACGCAATAAAGCGTTTAAAAATCGCACAAAACCAATTTTAAGAAAATGCTGAGATAAGGTCACAACATGACAACATGACTCACTTACATTGAAAAGTTAGCGACATGTAACGACATGGTAATATTAATTCAGTGATTAATTGCATAAATTCAATTTTAAGGAAATCTGACGATGAGGTTTCAGCGAGAACCAATAGCACATATAAAATTCTCGATATTGACAAAACTATCATAAATGTCGCGAAAGCAAAAGATCGTTACTTGAAATAATCCTGGAGAGTCGTTTGTCGCTTTGGAGCTCGAAGGTTTAAAAATGTATCAGTCGTTGCTGTCTATTTCGGATTCTTATCTGTCATCGCCTTATCACAAACAAATCCAAAGCACGCGTATTTATTTTTGGGTGGCCGCTTAACAGGGGTAAAAAACAATAAAAACCACCATCGGGATGACCAAAAGGTAGCCGCAGTCGCTTAATAGGGGCCGTTTAATATGGGTTTCATTTATAGTATTTAACTGAAAATAATTTCGGGACTTTCATGATAACTGGCCGTTTAATAGGTGGCCGCTTAATAGGGATTGGACTGTAGTGGAATAGATATTGCACTAGCTAGTATCCGAAAGTGATAAACTTCTCACATATATATTGAAATTTCTCACGAAAGGGCTCTTTTCGACTGGGTATCGCTTTTGGATTGGCTTCTTCCAAAGAAAGTAGAAAATTAAACTGTTGCCCAAAGATCCCACGATGCTTATAGTTGCGAGAAATGAACAGAGGACGTATTTCACGGTGGGATCAACAGGCATGAAAACGTACACCACTGAAACGTTTGTGGTACAATTTTTTCCGGTAGTATGAACTGTTTCCTGACTTGTTCCACAGTTGGCACCATGTTTTATCCCTGTTCTTGAGAATCAGGCTATTAGGAAATAATAGAAAAAAAAAGAGAGGTACAGTTAAGAAAATACTTTGCTCGGACGCGTGCCCGGAAGACTGGATCGAGTACATGAAGTCGAGGCTGGCACTTAGAAATAGGCCATTTTGTAAAATAAGTTGTGGTTAATCATCGTGGTAAATAACACTTTAGAAAAGAAATGTTTGTCTTACGATGTGGTCCGGCCTATGATGTGGATCGCGACGTTTGGACAGGGTCCTATATACTACTAGTCTTCTTCAGACGATGAGCTCGTCGCCTGAAGAAGACTAGCGGTATGCAGTCGAAACGTCGCAATCCACATCAGTAGTGATTACAAGTAACCGGCCATTTTCGATATAGTAAAATTCAAACTTGGCTTCGCGAGGCTTGGGGATTAAAACAAAAGAAATCACATCGAAGTTTAGGGATAAATAATTAGTTTCTTTGGTTTATTCCCCCAAGCCGCGGAGCCATGTTAGAATCTTCATATATAGAAAATGGCCAGTTGAGGGAGAAGTATTCTACCAAAGTATAAAATTTTCAATTCTCAAGAAAAATTAAAGTTCCACAGAAACAAAACTGTTTGTGACGCTCAAGGTTTCTAAATAAGGTTCCTCTCTACTTAGGAAATTCTGCTTTAAAACACAGAGTAGAGATTCCTCTTTCGCAGTTGAACCGGTTTTACTCAGCTTTCGAGAGCAGAAAGCTCAGCCAATGACGCAGGAGCGGCTTAGTATTAGATTATTATAGCGCGTTTCGGTTCAGGCAGATCCCAGGCCCCCGCGTCCTGAGGTGTGAACGGCAAACCCATTAACTTACGACCTAAAAAACAAAAAATAGCCTGTGAAAAATACTCTTATCGAACTAACTCAGAAAAAAGGTTTAAGTATGTGTACGTGATTGCTTTTTTCGTGAAATTACGTGCGATAATGAACATAGAAATAAATACCAAGGGGGAAGATGAAGAGAAAATTACTGCTTGAAATCTAAAAAACATAAGAAATTTAAACACGACGTGCGGTACATAACATTATTTTGGTTCGTTTTGTATGGTTGGGCGGCGTTGATGTGAAGATGAGCGGCGAAGCTTCGAGACTGCGCTGGTCATTTTTGCGACTCCAACGCCTCTAATTTCATCGAGTGCCCAAAGAACTGTCAGCTACTTAAGCTCTTAAAAGCATGTTTGACGTATTTGACGACAACGGAACAAGTTACTCAATACAATTGTCTGATGCGTAGGTCACATGGCGTAGAAAATTCAGAGTTAAATTTAATTTGGTGCGTAAACAAGCCTGATTTTGTACGAACTAACCATGTTTGATTGCGGACTCGGATTTCCTCGCTGAAACGCGTGCAGTCAATGTCCTATTACCTCAAGAGAAAGAAAACACACTAACGCGACAAACAACGTCACAAGAAGTTAATTTTTTTAATTGTGTAAGCATTAAAGAATATAGCTTAGTTTTTAAGTGATTAGCGGTCGATCGAGCTGTTACACGACTTCGTCCGATGACTAAGTCGTTAATTAATTTGTCTGCTGAGCGTCAAACATTCGATGATCTTGATAAAGAGATAGATAATTTTTTGCTCTTAATCATTTAAAATGCAAGTGCTTTCAGACATTTTCGCATTAATAAAACCCTTTCATTCCCAGTCGTACGAATTTGTGGAATGTTTACCAATTTGTACGATGGTGACTTCGAAGGTTATCTATAAATCTTTTAAGGACTCAAAATTGGATTTGCTTCGAAACTGGGATAGGACTAAGCAAGCTGATCCGCTACATGATTTTTTTGAGCATAGAAAAGAAAAACACTTTTCACATAAACGTTTTACTCGAAAGATCATTAAGTACATGAACGTGGAAATTATGAAAATTAGAACTAATGAGACTTAATCATCTTTTAGTTAATTAAGTGGAAAGAAGCAGAAACCATGTGATTCGGTGAAAACGAGAATAGGCCTCTGCGAGAGGCATGAGGCAGGTGAATAAATGTTTAAATGTTGATAGTGGTCATACCATTCAGCTTAGCAGACCAGGATTAAAACTCAATACACCAACATGAAAAATTTAAATCAAGTACTTACGATGAGCCCTTGTGGTCCAAAAAAATTCGAGACGCGAATATCGCCGCGCTGGGTGTTGAAGATAATTTGTTGAAATGTGCTATCGAGTCCGTTAAGAATCTTCTCGAGGGTCAGCTGATCAGTTGTCAAAAGCTAATGAACATTTTACCCACAACCAACACTTTCTCGGTAATATATTATTTTTGCCAAAAATAAAACCAGCTCCAACACTCAGCTATTGACGCATTTCTAACGCTATACTTTTTTTTTTTTAATGCGCCGCTTAGGCAGTGATCTCCGCCACTTGAATTCAACAACGTAAACATGGACTTTCATAGGCCCATCATAGAATAGCTTCTTGGAACTGTTTTGGCCTTTTTTCCTTACCTTTAACGAAAGATCAAAAAATTGGCCATGTATGTCAATAAGCTCTCATCATCTCTTAAAACTGTAATTAAGGACGGATGCATATCAAACTGTTTCCCCACTGCGATGGACATTTGTTTTTGTCGGTTCCAGCCTGGCGCAGCCGCTAACCCAGATGCCCTCCTGAGCAAATTTTTAAAATGGCGGACAAACCAAAGAGAGAGATAAGAGAACCAAAGCGATTCTGCAACGAATACTCAGCATACACCCCTGTTAAAAAGCTCCTTTCACAGAGAAAAAATACAAATTTGTAAGATGTTGAAGAGACTGAAAATTCACTACATAGGCTGCAGTACACGCTTCGATGAGTGGAGACCCTTCGGGGACGGTGAAGCATCTGAATATTTTCCTTCGAAATTGTATAGATTAGTAGGCTGCAACAAAAATTTAGTGGACGACGTTTAAGGTAAAAACGGCGTTCTAACCTGAAAAAAATGTATTTATTCCGACTCTTTCGGAAAATAACTTTACAAATCTTACTTGTTTATCTCGTAAGTAAACGATGGTAAATTAATACCCGAAGCGCTTTCCGAGCAGCCCGATTCTTCTCCCACTGCTTTCTCGCTTATAAAACAGGAAACGAGCAAAAGGAGGAAGGTGTGACTGTTTTGACTAGCCATTTGACGAGGTTCAATCTGCTCCTTGTTCGACAATTTACATATCAAAACAAAGGAAATTTGTTCCTCTCTTTGATTTTGGCGGTACATTTTCAATTTGCGCTTGCGTAAGAGAGAAATCGCCCAAGACTCCTTGCTCGGTCTTATTTTGACCACGAACGCCTTCTTAATTTTGACGGATCCGCTCGGGAAAAGCTGAAAATGACGAGGGAAAAACTTTACTTTGTAGTACGTAAATACACAAAATGGAAAGCCATGATATTATAGTTCAACATTTCGGTGGTACATTGTTAACTTTTTATACAGAGAGTCGGCAAGATGATATAACATCCAAAAATGGCACTCGATTTGAGAGGGCCGATGAAGTGGGCGTGGTCACGAAATTCAGTAAGAGACTATTTGTACCCCGTGAGTTTGATACGATGTGCGCACAAACTTTTGTCCGTTTTGGTTCTCAAATGCCTGATCAGCTGGACCGGATTAGATTTTTCTTTTCAGATCATTGTCTTAGAATATACATAGACAACGCGCACCACCGTTTCGCTGTAGTTATTCAAAACTTTGAGTCGAGTTAACGAGTTTGCGTATAATTTGAGCGTTTCTAGTGGACACACCTGTTAAGTTACTGTGAGAACTTTTGATTTGTAAACGACAGTATGGTGGCTAGTTAAAGGAATTTTCCGTCTGAGTTTTTCTACATTTTTTTGGGGCCGGGTGGAATTTCCAACTTTATACTGCATATACCTTTGGGTAGTACATTTTCTCGGTAACATTGTGAGGCACGATTATCGCGAATAGTATTTTAAACAATATTTCTTATTGAGTTGAAAATGAGAAATAGATAACGATTAGCAGTAATAATGTCGGAAATTGTGTGTTTACATAATCAAAACCTTTTAACGCGTTTAAAATTTCGCTGTTTAGTCCACCGGAAATAGATAGGCATCGTATCTGTCATCATTAGTAACTGTAACCAATCAAAGGAAACATTCACCGATTGTATATCCTTTGTTCTAAAATACACCACGTGTGTTGTAATCGAACTCGGCACTTTGCGAGAGAAAAACATATCTGTTAAAAAATTCTATCGTGAGTGAGCGATTTTAGCGCGAGTTTATCGGGAAAACCGTTGTGTTGTCAGGCAATTATCTAATTCCCAACAATAATAATGATGCTATCATTTACCACGCCACGTAAGAGAGCAGGGTAAATGTCGAAATTCATTAGTAATTATTACTATAAAATGTTTTATTGTTAGGTAAATGTAATTTATTTATAACAATGCTCTTAAGGAACATATTGTTAGCATTGTACAATAAGTGGTACATGTAGGCGTGGCGTTAAAATAACTCCTCTGAAAATTGAAAATCGAGGAAATATCGCAGTGTTACGACTATTTATCTATAAAGTGTCAATGTTGCTCTTGCAATTTGGTTCAGGATTGTAGAAATCCCTCTGATTATCTTTTTCTCGCTTTCATCAACTCCGAACGTCAACTGTGGCATCTCGACCGCGAAGAGACTGAGAACTATTCTGTTCCCATAATGCTTTCGAGGCAAAGCATACTCATGTGAATAAAATGAAAACGAGGTTGTTCCAGTTTCCGCCATCTTGTATTTCTACTTGAACTTTTTCCGTTAAGATGCATTAATTTTTTTACTTTATACCTCTTTTTTCGACTCTTTTTGTCGCCCTGATGGATGCTGGGGAAGAAGGTATTTGCGAGGAATATGCGTCATCGCTCGAAGACTTGACTTTTAATTCTAAACCATTAATCAATGTGCTCACGATGCTAGCCGAAGAAAACAGTCAGTATGCCGCGAACATAACAAAGCTTATTGAAAAACGCATTTGTCAGGTGTGTATTTTTATTTATATTTCTCCTATTAGGCTCTTAATGAAACAAAAGTTCTCCAGCTATTGAAAGCAATACTTGTGTGCTCATTGCATTTTTATTTTTAGCGGTATATGATAGAAAACTACGTACTGTTTTGTTGACAATAATATTAATTTATCGCCAACTTAAGGGATTTAGCCCACCGAATTACCAGCCCACCGTCTGACTGCGAAATTATTTTCGTACTCGAAATTAGGTTCTCAGAGTTACCATATTGGCCTAAAGGGAGTTTATCCTGATGCTCCATGCCTGCAAGCTTATAGGATATTTAGAATCAAGGTGATACCGGTAGTTTTGAATTAGTCCTTGCTTCTTGGTTGGCAATAATAATTTCTTGCAAACATGTTGGAGCAACGAATTTTAACAAAAGATTTCAAGCAGTTTTGATCAGGGGCCATTTGGATAGGGAGTGTGGGCTGCAAAACCAAGCAGGGCACTTCAGCCTTTAATGTCAAATACTTGTTATTGTACAATGAATATATGCAGTTCATATGTACTTGTTACTGTGTTGGCAAATCCCAGAGTGATGGTCCACTTGCAAGCAGTTTCAGTGTCAGCTTGAGTCCCTTTTAAAACACACAGCAATTCAGAATTACCTTAAAGTAAATTTAAAAAGGTAGAGATGTTGGTAGTTTTCATTACACCAGTTTGTCGCACACAGCCTTCCGAGAATTTGAAGTGACATTCCTCTAGATTTTTCTCTATGCACTGCGACTTAGTTTGATTTTTTTCATTGATAAGGTTACTTAAACATTTTCGGCAAATCTATTTTGCACAGTATGGTATCTTAGATGTTTTATTGTGTTCAGTATGAATGATTTCTCTCCCTCTCTAGGAAAAGTTAAAATAGTGCCCACCATCAAACAAGCACCCACTTCAAATAAGTCCCTACTCTCAAGGTTCCTAAATTTAAGGATCCCCTAGAGGGCAGAATGGAATAAATATGGTCATGTGAAATTTTTTTTTAATCCTTCACACACTTTTTAAAATTTTCTTATATGTTGTTTATATACAAGATATTCCTTTGACCTGAAGGTGGCAGATGCTAATTGATGTATGCCAATTTTTTCTTAACTGAAGAAGTAAAGAAATAACACATAAAAAGACACTAGAAGATACTAAAAGACACACAAGAAAAGAAAATCAAGGAAAATGAAAGACTTTCATAGTATAGGAAAAAAAGTCAGAGTTTTTAGGTGTAATAAAAATTACTGTGTTTAAATTTTTGCATTATCTCATCAGGTTCCACAATAGAATCTTAAGTCACTAGAATACTGAGAAGAGCCCATTTTGTTTCTTTTTTGAAGGATTTCTCTGATAAATTTTATATTCATCCATAGGGTATCTCATTCCTGATTTTTGATACCAATACCCGTTGAGGCCTTTCTTTACATTTTAAGCTTAGAGCACTTAAGGTTTAAGAGTGGTGATGTTGATGAGCAAGTAGTCTAGGTGTGGATGTGTGATGTACTTGAAAAAGTTTTATGATGTTAGAAGGTGTGGTGTCATTATGAACATCAAGCATTAATTTACATATAGCTTCCTGATATAAAAAGGTAATAGGGAGAATTTTGGCTTTTATGAATGAGGGAATAGCATTTTTTTTTTTCAATTGAGATTATGCACAAAACTTGCTTTTGGAGAACATTAATATGAGGTTTTAAGTAAGAATTATTTATTGCAAAGTGATGCTCCTTTTTTGAAGTTGTCTGAAATAGCTCACATAATTCATAGTTAACATGTACTTGGTGTCAAAAATTATTGTCACACCTAAATTAGTTTTTACTGTACATATAAAAATTGTAATTTGGTGGTGGTATACACAGTTAAAGAAAAGTATTTTGATGAAAATAACAGTTAAGCAGTGCACTAAGGATAACAAAGTATTGATTTTTTTCAAGTTAACTTGAAAAATTATGCACAATGTGTCCAGTAAGAATTTCTTGTAGCATGTATACACTGCTACTCGACAAAAGTTATTGTAATTTATTTATTAGAATGGCAGGTTTTTTGTCTGGAAAAAGACACATTTTTACAAAGTTTTTAGATACAAAAGTGGCCACACAAGTCATTCTACTTTTTTTTGTCATCCATCAGAGATGATTTTTTAGAATCTATTTTGTAGCCTTTGGTAGTTGCTGATAAAACAGAGTTCTCAAAACCTTTTTTTCTTATATTTTTGTCATAGGTTCCACAACAATTAAAGCTACCCTCCCTTTACTTGCTTGACTCCATTGTGAAGAATGTTGGAGGAGGGTACCTGAAGCTTGTAGCAGAGATTATGGAAAATAGTTTTACTTGTGTATTTGAAAAGGTAATTTATGTGCTAGAAATTTCTCAACTGATCAGCTTGTTTGATTGCCTTAATGCACCAGTAGGACAGGAGAGTAATTGGTTTCATTCCTTTTCAAACCCGAGTTATTTTCAATTGTTTTTCGTATTCTTTTTAATGCATTATTGTGATTATCATTCTTAATTTTTCTCAGTTCTCAAGTAATAATATTTTTAGGCAGATGAGAAGACCCGTCGGGATCTATACAAGTTGCGGCATACTTGGCAGCAGTATTTTCCAGCCAAGATGTTGCATGACTTGGATGTTGCTGTCAATAAGCATGACCCTGGCTGGCCCATTTCTCCTGCTCCTCCACCAAGTCCTTCTATACATATTAACCCGAAGTTTCTGCCAAAGGTACTTTTGCTTTCAAGTCATTGCATCCC